AATTAAACAACTATCAAAGGACAATTCAAAGTTCGACGAGGATTGGTTGCTTGTGAGTAGTTGGAAGTATAGTATTGAAAATTATGGAAATGTTTCCATATTGGATGGACAATATCGACATCATTACGAATAGATAAGATTCTATTAAGAAATTAGTTGTCGTATGGAAAATATGGAAGCGTGTCCATATTGGGAAGTAAATATTGAAAATCTATGACTAGATTAAAAAACCTTTATGCAAAAGGATGTTCAAAGGAATGTGCTTTGAGTGAGAGACATCATATCTAAGGAATTGTCTTGTAACAATCTCCGATAGAGGAATTTGTAATATCATTGGCAATAGTCTTTGAGAATTTGGTGCAGTGACATTACAAAAGGATCGTTGCATAAAGTGTTAGAATCTAGTATATTCTATAAGTAACAAGAATTTGATATTCTTACACTTAAGAAAATGGATTTGGAGTTGTGAAATGAGAATGATTGGAAATGTGTTCAATTTGTCTATTTCACAAAAGTAAGAACCATAGGTAAACATTGTGTGCATGCTAGGAGCATGGGACAAGTGTAATGATTCAATTAAAAAGTTGATTACCCGAAACGACAAATAATGAGTAATCGATATGGTGATAAATAAAACGTGTTTTGTTTATACTCAAAGGTTTGAGGCCATATGGGATTAGTATTATTCTTGTGTTTCACTTTGCATGTTTGACTTCCAGAATAATTGAGTTTATTAAGAATAATTGAATTATTCAAACGGGCCACAGTCGTTCATATGTTGGAAGTAGATATGAATGAAGACTGTCGTGAATTGGTGTGTGGATTGTTTTAGAAGAGTATTAGACATAAGCAAATGTTTGCTGCAACGTTCATGAGGGCTTATGAATATGATTTGAGCATTGGATTAAACCCACGCTCACTTGGATCACTCCATGAATTGTATTACGAGTGATTAGTGAGATGATAACATCTTGTATTCTTGAAACCGAGATGTGTGAGTTGTATCTTGCGAATCGGTTGCACATTGATAATATGTAAACGCACCAGTAACTTGGTGTTATAAAACATATTGTTGTGTGTAATTCAGTGAGTGAGTGCAAGCGAGCATTGTATCAAAGTTTATCCGTTCCTTTTATCCAAAGTAGGATAAAAGTGATATCTTTGGGCCCCTCGATGGTTTAGTGATGACATACGTAAATGCTCGACCGGGCTAGGGCTAATTTGATTTGTTCAGTTAGTCTGTCGTCATAAATCGGAAATCGAGATATAGTACAAAGAGAATGATTTGAAATCATATCTCATACGATATCTAGAATGGAGGAATATATGATCCCTTATCTAAGGACACGCGTATCTGATATGATCAGAGTTGACAGCGGCTTTGGAAAGCTACGATTGCAGATCAGGATCTGAAGTCATACGCATAATAGTTGTTAGACTTATCCAAGTGGGAGACTGTTGGATTAGTGTCTAAGTCTATAACTATTTTGGTATGTACTTGACCCGATGGTGCATGGTCCTTTTGGGTTGCCTTCACCAAAGCAACTTGATTGGAGAAATTAATAAAGAGAGAGAGGATAATATGATTTATTAATATGTTATAAGACTAATATATTAAAGGAGAAATCATATTTGTTTAATTAATATTGGTCAATAATTAATTAAGAATTAGTTTTGTGATCAAATGTAATTAATTAAACTAGAGGGGCTGATTTGTAATTATGTGATAGTTACAAAATAAGGTAAGGATTATCTTATTTATATGGTGGACGAATTTAAGGTTGGAAAGCCTTAGAATTCGAGTATAATAAGGATTCAAGGATTATCTTATTGGTTGCTTAATGGATAATCAACTTGATAAGGATAATGACTGAAACCCTATCTCTACACCTATATAAACACCCCTATGGTCATGAATTCGTGAATCCCTTCACAAGAGGTCCTAGATACGAATTCTAACCTCTCACCTCTCTTTCTATACCTTCTCCACTTGCTTATGGTGTTTGTAAGCCATTAGAGGAGTGACACTTGTGACTCTAAGCCTTCCAAAGCCAATTCAAGGAGGAATTGGGATTGTTATTGCTACATAACAATCAAGGTATGTTCTTAAACCTAATTATATGTTAATGTCAATTTCCATATGTTAGAATTAGGGTTTATAGTCTTGGATTCAAAGCATGTACAATAGAGAAACCTAGATCCAAGCATTAGGGTTTGTATGAGCACATAGGATGTCTTATGACTAAAACCCATCAGAAATAACATACAAGCCACACATGCAAATATACTAAGATGCCATGGAAATCCTCCAAGGTCTTACACATAAGTGCCTCTGGAATCTACCGAGGTCTTTCATGCGATTATCACAAATAAATAGCATACCACATATCCCATAACCAACTAGTTATATCTCATAACAATAATGGGTTGGCCTTGAAGCCTTAGACCCATTGATATCGTGAGAATACATACTTTCTCACAATAATGAACTGATAAGATAAGATCGGATAAGTCCCAACACACAGTTCCAACTTAACTGCCTATAACCATCATCTGATTAACTTGTAAAAGTCTCGAAATACCCTAAGTACCCTCTAGCTAAAACTTGGTGAACCGTGGTCAAAGTCCATGTCAACAGTCAAGGTCAACAATCCATGTGGATCCAAAATCGTCGAGTACATCTAGCAACTCATCGAGTTCCTTCAGAGTCCAGAAAACCGGGACAAACCCTAGCCAACTCGTCGAATTATGTCATCAACTCGGCCAGATCACTCAGTATCTAGAAGGCGGGGAAACCCGATCCAACTCGTCGAGTCGCCAGGGTAACTCGAAGAGTTTTCCCTTGCCTTAACATAATCAATCCTTCCAGTCGAATCCAAACCTCCAAACTATACACCAAGACCGAAATACCACGTAAAGTTGCAAACTTTACGTGCATGCATGTCCTCAAATGGCTATAACACTAAAACTAGGGTTCATACAATGCTTAGAACATAGAAAAGGGCCCAGACTAGGTAAACGAAGCAACTTCATGTGTATGAACACTCAGAGGTGTCTAGATCTGCAACCACATTCTCATGACATGTCCAAATCTTAGTATTACACCCTTTTGCACCAAAAGTGACCATATTCTTCCATAAGATGAGTTCTAAGAAAATAAAGATCATGGTAACAACTTTTTCCTCCTAATGGATGCCAACACCAGGTAAATGTCGGATTTAAAGCCCTCTCCTCATTTTAATCTCTTCAACCTCCAAGTTTCCTTCCAAAAAGCACAAGATTCACTCTCCAAAGCGCACACACACACTCAATAAGGCACTAAACTACCGCTAGGGTTTCTATTTTAACAAATAGGACGATGAGGGAGGCCACAAATGACCCATAAGTTCCGTAAACAGGGTACAAACCATTGAAAATTATGGTTTTCCTTTATCGTGTATACTCGTCGAGTTGGGGCCTTCCAACTCATCGAGTATACCCTAAGTCTCACGTCCAAAACCGATCTTTACTCATCGAGTTGGGCTCCCAAAATCGCCGAGTCCCAATATAAAACCCTAAAACTTAAAAATCAAATGATACCTGGAGTAGGCATTACAGACATAATCTTCGTTAAGTGCTTAATCTCTTCACACCAAGGCACATAACCTCAGATCTAGTTCCTAAATAGCTTCATAATGGACAAAATTTTTAACTTTGTCCATTACGATGGTCCAAACAATCAAGATCTAGTTTTATGTCTCAAAGGTGCCAATAATGCATCTTTTTCAGCTAAATCCATTAAGTCCAAGTCTCCAACCTACAGTTCTGAATCAATATGATGTTTAAATGGATAAAGTTTCCAACTTTATCCATAATAATGTCTAAAGATTTCAAGATCTAATCTTTAATACACCACAACAACTTAAATGACCAAAATAACTTGCATGGATGAAACGGAATGCAAAAGATCAAAAAATTCCTAGTCCATGATGTCCAAGAAGACATTTTCAACTAATGAAAAAGGTGTTGGAATCCAGATCTAAAACATGCAATGTTCTTAGGACCATTGAGAGTAATAAATTTGCAAACTTTATTCCCAACTCTCAGTCAAAACTCATTCAGATGGACCAAAACACCAAATACACTTAGATCCAAAGATGAAATGTAATAAACTTGGAACTTTATAACTTACAAGGGTTTATAAGGTATATGAAAATTGAGATCTTTAATTTCCAAGCTTCAAGAATCTATCTTGCATGAAAACATTGCTCCAAAACCACCAAAAACTCCAAATATGGATGAGAGAGGAGATTAGATGCTTAAATCTTGAAATAGAGGTTGTGGTTTCTTCAAATAGGTACTAGATATGATCAAGGATTAGAAAATACCCTAAAATCAGGTTTAAACCCCATTCTTTTGAAACCCAAAACCATTATTTAATCTATTCATAGTCCACAATCCCGAAAATAAGAAACTTCTCGAAACAGGATGTTACACTTTCGTTTACTTCGTCAAAATTTTGATGGGTACTGTGTTGTTAGCAAATGTCCACATAGGCTATGCCGATCTCATAACTCTTCCATACCCCTTCACCTAAATAAATATGCTACATGAATTGGCAATATGGTATAAATATGCTTTCTTGATTTATTTACTCATTTTTATAAGTTGAAGTAATAAGTTGTTTAATTAAAAAAATCATAAGTAATAAATTAATTAAAAAAAAAACATATTACATAAAAACCGGAGTATGTATTTATCAAGGAAAAAGCATGTAACGCCATAACGGGCAATTGGTGTTTAAATGAACCCAAATAAATGATGCTGGATGCTTCTCATTGTCCGCAAGTGCCCCCTTGCGTTGACATTCATTTATCCCCTGTGCTTTCATTCAAACCAAGATCCCCTTCATTTACTCCCTTTCCACTTCTCCTTCAGTCTCATTTTCATTCTTGAAAATTCCATCTCTTTGCTTCGAAAAGCAAACTTCAATTTCATATCTCCACAAATTCTCTTTTTTTATGGCACATTCTATAGATATTGAAGTAGACGTTAATGGAGAACACATTTTCATTATTGATAAGGTATTTTCCCTCTGTTTCGGTCTCATTTCATCTGAGTTTTATTTTCTGTTTCTGTCAATATCCAGAATGATGAAAAATATCAACTTTTTTAATCCGTTTACAAAAGTTATTGTTCTTGGTTGAAGATGAATCTCTATCAAAGAGAGTCACTCGGCTCTAGTTTTCATATTCTTTTCTAACTCATCTGAAAAGAACAAAACTTCATCTTTTTATGAGTTCAATTCATTTTCATTTCTTTTTTATAACTGAAAATGTATGCCTCCTTCTATGAATCATTCTTTATTCGTGTGTGTGTGTGTTTGAGTGCGGGTGGTTGTTTTTGTCGCAATGAAAAGTCTTTAGTGTTTATACTTTGACCCATGTAAAATCACCAAAAGGACAGCTTCTTTTGTCTTGTATTCACATATTTATTTAAAAATCATATCATTCTTCCAAAAAGCTTCTTTTTTGTATGATTCATCATTCCCAATATATATATAGTCTGTGATAATATGACACTATAATATGGCTTGTGAACTCTGAATATACTGAAAAATATCCCTTTTTTGTAGAGAATTCTTGCTTCTTATTCGAATCGAGTAAGCGAATTATCCACAAAACTCACCGGCTACACAAAACTGAAATTCAACGATTTCCCAGGTGGCGCAGAGAGTTTCGAGCTTATTACAAGATTCTGCTACAACAATGGCAGCATCCTAATAACTCCATCCAACATATTCTTGCTTCACTGTGGTTGTACTTTCATGGAAATCCCTATCTTGATCACGCAAACCGAGTTGTACCTTGAAGGCATCCATTACTTGACATGGTCTGAATTCATAAACGGTTTAAAACAATGCCAGATTCTATTTTCTACCATGAGCACCCATCCATGTTTTCAAGAATTCTTGAATACCCTTCTTGGAAATCTCTCTCTTCCTAGTTCATATCCTTCATCAAACAGCTCTAGTTTTCGGTTTTCTTCAAGCGATACGACTCCAAAAAGTTCAAGATCCGAAACCCTTTTAGATTGTTGGAAGTTTGATGATCTTACTTTCTTGGAAATCGATTTATTTGAAAAAGTAATAAAATCCATGATTCTTTTACACTTTGAGCACCCTAGAATTTGTTCATTCATCCTCCATTACCAGAAATCTAAATTCTTTTTATGTTCTTCCAGACGTCAAAAGTGTAAACTCTTAGAAACGACCATTAATCTATTGAGTTCGCTTAATGAGAGCTCGTTTTCTTGTCGAGAATTACTAGATGTTTATGGAACGAGCTTGATTTTGAATATGAAAACACCCGAAAGATTAAAGTTGGAAACTTTTCTTGGATCGCGTTTAGATGAGTTTAGAATAGATGATTTACTTGTTCGTGGGAAGAAAAAGCAAGCGTTCGATGTCGACTTGACTTTGAGATTGATCAAAGTTTTTCTACTCGAAAGAAGGATTTTTGGGTTCTTTCCACATCGTGCAAAGAAAGTGGGGTTTTTGGTGGATTTGTTCATGATAGAGGTGGCTGTTGATCCTTTCCTTAAACCATCAAAGTTTATAGCATTAGGCATGGCATTGCCAGATTTTTCAAGAGAATCTCATGACAGAATCTACCATGCAATCGATTTGTACCTTCAGGTACAATACTTCCATGCAATATTAGTGGTTTCTACAATGACTTGGATCTTTTTGATGATTTTTATAAAACATCTCCAAAGGATTTGAATGTCGATTGTAAATGTTTTTTACCATTGTGTCCTAAAATTAACCCACTTAATTATATATAGTAAATGTTTTTTTTTTTTTTTTTAATTATTCTATGAAACAAACTACCCATATTTAATAAATATTATTTTAATTTACATCCTACTTATAGTTAAACTTTAAATATTTGTTACTTATTAACTAATTATATTTTTATAAATATTAAATAAATTTTATTTTAGCGCCTGTTAAATGTTAAATTTTTAATTATAGTATTATTTTTGGTATTTTTATAACGATATGGGTAAAAAAATTTATTTTTGTATTTTTGGAAAAAGCAACGCCACAAAAATATTATATTTTAGCTTTTTTGAAGTTGCATATTATAATAAAAAAGTTTAACATTCTTTAAAAAAGAACAAATGTAAATGATAGAGTTTTACTATATATTTTATATACGTGAGTACAAATAAGTAAATTAAAAATTAAACTTTTCAAAATGATTAATGACCGAAGAGTTTTAAGTTAATATATTTTTATTCGATAATGTTAATGAAAAACTGGCAAAATATAAAACTTATGCATGAAATCGGTAACTGTAAATGCTCTAAATAGTTTAAAAGTATAATGGTTTTATAAAGTGATTGAATTTTGGAATATTAATTTCGAGTTAATGCACAAAAAACACAAACTATATATGGGAAGTATAAAATAAAATGGTCTTCCCATTATGGATTATTCTTTTACAAATTGCATTATATTTATTTCTTCTTTAATTACCGTCCACTTTTTGAGTATTTTTACGGCCAATGCGAGAACAAGAAAGCAATGTCATTCTTTATTTCCTTACTTTGTTTACCATATATAGGTGCATCGAGATTTCAGTGAAGATCAATGTTCGAAGATTTGGAGTATCCTTGACTTCAGCAAAGTCTCAACGCTGACAAGTGGATTTCTCCTTGTAAGAAACACGAATTTCTTACCATTTCAGAAGCAAAATAAGTTCAAGACTTCATTGTTTCATGACTTTGTGTTTCACAAATTTCCTCAATACGTCAAAAATACAAATAAAAAGGAGAAACCAAGGGCAAAAGGTGTACTACATGCACGTAGGTTTACGCAAAAGAGATCAAAAATTATCGATCCATGCAATGTTAAATCCTTACCGCGACTCTGTCATTAGTAGTGTTTTTTTATTTATTTTATTTTTTTCTGTAAATTAGTTAGTTTTTCATAGATGAAATCGCATGCCTTAATTTTTCGACTTGTTAAAAAGTCGAAGCATAACCCCTTTGGTATAGATCGTTTAGATTATTATTATTTCTATAAATGTTAAGAACTTTGAATTTATAAGAAAATAATAAAAATATTGAATTATTAAAATTAAAATATTTTTTTTATCTTTTAAATTTAAACAAATCATTGAAATAAAGAAACAAAAATACTAGCAAACTTTAATTTTAAGAATTTTGAAATAAAAATGTAATTTTATTAATGAAAGTATTATTTATTTATTTGTAACACTGTAAAAATTTGAACAATTTTTCACTTTTGAAAAACCATGAAATATAGTTTGCATTCATAAATAAAAACATTGTATCAACACTGTACCAGTACAAAACCCCGAGATCAAAATATTTAAACTCCCGTGTGCGTGTGTACGAGTCATGCTGGCATCTTCCCGCGATCATCGCTAGTACCTGAAACACATAACACATAACACTGTAAGCATAAATGCTTAGTGAGTTCCCCAAAATACCACATATATCGCATATGCCTTTCCAGGCCATAGGACCTTCCGATCGAAGTGTCTCAGGGGATTTCCATCTCAAAAACGGTTGACCTTCCGGTCCGTATCATCTTGACCTTCCGGCCCACATCATACTCATGTCACATAACATATCACATATAACTTACATCGCATATACATCATACACATAAGACCCTTCGGTCACATAAAATTACTCCATCGGGTAAGGCATAGTGAGAAGACTCACCTCAGACGTCTCGTAAATCTCTGACTCGGTAGAAGTATTGCCTAGCCTCCGCCTATTCACACAAAGTATATACCCTCATAAACATAACACTCGAGGCTAGACTCGACCCTCTATTGTCACCCTCAGAAGGGTAAAAGGCTATTTTACCCCCCTCTTGACTCAAGGACCCCATTGTTGACCAAACCCTAAAAGTCAACAAAAGTCAACGGTCAACTTTGACCCAACTCGCCAAGTGCACTCTGGTGACTCGGCGAGTACACACATGTCCACTAACTCTTTGTCCTGCTTGGTACGTCGAGTCCTACCCTATGCTCAACGAATCACACCTGGCATGAATCGCGGGGCTACCCCGACTCAACTCGCCGAGTCTCAAGAACAACTCGGCGAGTACCGCCTTGAACTCCAGTCTCTTAACCCCCTTCTAACTCACTGAGTTATCTCCCAACTCAGTAAGTCTACTCACTGAGTAATCTGCGTGGACCTTAACCCTACTCACCGAGTCCCAAGAACAACTCGGCGAGTTCATGCCATGAACAAACTCTATTGATGTCCTGTAGTCAGATCTGTGCCCCTAATCCATTGATTTGGCCTTCCCAAGCATAAATGTCATGTAAAGTCTGAATCTTGATGCTTATAACTCAACCAATAAGCATGAAATGATGATTTTGTCCCAAATACCTTAACCCAAAGTCATGACCTCCATTGTTCTTCATAAAGCTTGAAGAATAAGGCTCTCTGGTCCTCTATGGGTCCAGGTACAAAGCCTTATCTCTAGAAGGGACTACTTGGACCTCAAATCAACTTAGTCAAGGGTACAAGAAACCCTAAAACCACATATCCTTCCCAAAACAGAAGAAGAGTCGAAATAATACCTCAAATGAATGATCTTAGCTTTTAGTCCTTAGAATAGCAACCTCCTTTGCTTTCCTTTGGCTAGAACCTCCTTCTTCTTACTAAATGACACCACAAAGATCAACAATGGTCACTCCTTGCTTCTCAAACGATCTCAGACTCTCTCTGGGGGTGGTAGCCACAATGGACGGCCATAAGGGCCTTTAAATATGTTCCAAGCCCTGGAAATTAGGGCTTCACTAAATAGCGTGGACTCGCTGAGTCCATGAATGGACTCGCCGAGTTCCTTCACAAACTCCAAAAAAATTAAATGAATAATAATATACCTGGGGATCCGGATGTTACATTATTGCAATTATTACATTAAAATACTATGTGAAATTTAATAAAATAAAGAAATTCATAAAATAACATGTACAAAAAAATAATTAAAAATAATCATAAAATGACATTTCACAAATTGAATAAGTGTGAAAAATGGCAAAAAAAACACTTTTATTTATAAGAGAGGATTTGGTACTAATGTTTATTAGTGTGAAACCATATAGAATGAAACATCCAGTGATACCATATATATATATATATATATATATATATATATATATATATATATATATATATATATATATATATATATATATATATATATATATATATATATATATATATATATATATTCAATTGTTTCAAATAATTATTGGGCTCCTAATAACCAGCAAAGCCTAGAAATTGGCGAATCTCCGTTGGTCTAGTTGGTGCAGCCCAATTTTCGATAGCATTGATCTTAGATGGGTCCACATGGATTCCTTCTTTGCTGATCACGTGACCTAGGAAGTCCACCTTCCTAATCCAAAACTTGAATTTTGAGAACTTCGCATAAAGTCTCTCAGCTCATAATGTCTCTAAGACTTGTCTCAGATGTTGGCCATGCTCTTCCTTACTCTTTGAATAAATGAGTAAGTCATCTATGAATACTATCACAAATTTATCCAAAAATGGACGACAAACTCGATTCATTAAGTCCATGAATACGTCAGGGGCATTGGTTAGTCCGAACGGCATCACTATAAACTCGTAACGCCCGCATCTTGTTCGGAAGGCCGTCTTGGGAATATCACTCTCCAGGACTCGCAGCTGGTGATATCCCGATCTCAGATCAATCTTGGAGAAGTAGTTGGCTCCTTGGAGTTGGTCGAATAAGTCGTCGATTCGTGGTAGGGGATATCCGTTCTTGATATTAAGTTTGTTGAGCTCTCGGTAGTCAATGCACATCCTAAATGATCCATCCTTCTTTTTCACAAACAACACTGGTGCTCCCCAAGGTGAGGAACCCCGCCTGATGAATCCTTTGCTGAGTAGTTCATTCAGTTGGCTGCATAGCTCCTGCATCTTTGCTGGGGCTAATCGATAAGGCGCTTTGGCTACTGGGATAGCTCCGGGAATCAGATCAACTCTGAATTCAACTTGTCTTGCGGGTGGTATTCCTGGAAGATCTTCGGGAAAAAGATCGAAAAATTCGCATACGTCAGGCACGCTCTTGATGTCTTGGACTTCGCGTTTCACATCCACGACAAGTGCTAAAAATGCATGACATTCCATGCACGGGTACTTCTGAGCTTGGATACACGAGATAATACGAAAAGTGGTACTGGGTTTTTCGCCATAGATTATGAGGGTTTCGCCGGTTGGCAGATTAAGGCGAACGACCTTATCGTAACATAAAATGTTCGCATGATGACAACTCAGCCAGTCCATGCCAATGATGACATCGAAACTCTTAATCGAGACTGGCATGAGGCTGATTGGAAAGGGATTATCGTTTAGAGTTAGGGTACAGTTTAAGTCTATCTCCTTAGTGCCTGCTGTTTTACCGTTGGCCATTTCTGCTATAAATGATTCACTTAATGACTGCGGTGTTTGCTTCAGCAGGCCTTTAAAATTATGACTCACAAAACTCCTCTCCGCTCCACTATCAAACAAAATGCATGCATACGAGTTATCGAGAAGAAATGTACTCGTAACAACAGTGGGGTCTGCAACGGCTTCATCTTGTTCCATTGCGAATACTCAGCCCCTTCCGCCGGTATCTTTATTGTTTGCCTTCGGGCAGTCGCTGCGGTAGTGTCCCGTGGCTCCACACTCAAAGTAGGCACGACTTACTCCGACATTAGTAGTGGGGGTGGCTTGTTGGGTGGCTCTTTGCAGAAGCAGGCCGTACGCCCCTTCTTATTTCACCTTGTGCATTTGAAGTCACTACAAAAACCGTGGTGGTGGAAGCTGCATTGGTTGCACTTCGGAAATATCCCACTATAAGAACTTATGGGTGCAGTGGTGGTAGGAACAGTAACAGTGAGAGCCGTTACCACTTGTTGTTTCTTGGGGTTCCCCAGTACGGTTTGCCCCCTTCTCTTGTTCCAAGGCCATCCCTGGCCTTGTACCTCCTTTGATGGATCGGTAGTAGTTGTGACAGTACCCTGTTTGACCCCATGGTCGATGAGTCGCTGAACCAGGCGCTTAACGCTGTTGAAAGTGATAGGGTTGGAGGCCAAGATGTGAACTTGAATCTAGGGTGACAACCCCCAAATGTACCTTACAACCTTTTTCGGTTCTTGGTTGACCATGGCAGGGCACAAGGCGGCAAGGTCGCTGAACCTGGCCGTGTGGGCTACTAAGTCAAATCCAGTCATCTTCAGATTCCATAGCTCATGCTCTTGCTTTTGTATCTCGCCCCTTGGGCAGTATTCTTCTAGCAGTAGGACCTTTATGTCCTCCCAACTTAAGGTGTTGGCGATGGTGAGAGTCATGGACTTCACATGGCTTTTTTACCAGGTAAGGGCGCGATCAGTAAGGGTGTAAGTGGCGAACTTTACTTTGCTCGTTTCTTGGCAAGAGCAGATCTCAAAGACCGTTTCAATATTTTTGAACCATTGCATTAGTGAAATGACTCCCCTATGCCATTAAAAGTTTTTGCCTTTGCGTTAGAGAACTCCTTGTAAGTAGATTCCCTTACTTGACCATGATCAGTTCCATGGTTGGGATGATTCGTGCTGTTTCCCGCCCCTCCATTTCCATTGGAGTTTATTTGAGAGAGGGCGGCGGTTACTGCTGCTGTGATAGCAGCTTGGACCATGGCCAGATCATAAGTTGGTGGTGGGGTGGTGTTGGTATCGTGCCCCGTCCGGGTCTTAGGTTTGGACGAGGAGGCATCGCGCTGCCAAGAATTAAAAATGAAAGATCAATAGTTTTGGTGATCAAGGATTGAATGAGTTAGCTATCTTTAACAGTTTAAGAATTTGATTCAACTTATACAGGGCTTTGAGTTTGATTCACAAAC